TCAGCCCTGATGATGCAAACTGCAACGTTTGCAAAACGTCGGCACATCGCTGATTCAAGACACGGCTCCATTCCGGAAGCTATACCTAGACATTGTATCAATGGCCGTGAAAGCCTCAAATCTAGTATAAGAACATATACGAGCAAACTGAAAGTTCACGTGAAATATTTCACGTTTTGAGAATTCACCTTTCACGGTTAACGTTGTCTCATTTATTAAATTTACTTGTATTATTATATTATATTATAACTATAAATTTAAGTTGTATAATGCTTATTAATGTGTTATATATTACATTGTGTATACTGTAATTACATTTTAATTTTAATAATCTATATTACATTAATATTGCTTTCCACATTTTCATTCACTTTTCATGTGAAATAACTTACAGTGAAAAGTGAAAAATAAAAATGAAGTTCACGTGAAAGATTCATGATCGCTACCCTGGACCCGAGAGAATAGTATAATCTCCTATCTATAATAGCTCCTGCACACAGGACGCGGTAATGCTTGCTGCGCGGTGGAAGTCCGCGCGACAGCCAATTAATATATTGTTTTTCCATAAGAGCTAGAAGGTTATTACGGAAAGCAGCATATTGATTGGCTGTCGCGCGAACTTCCGCCGCGTGGCAAGCATTACCGCGTCCTGTGTGCAGGAGCCATAACTGTAATATTCTATGGTCTGCTCTTGCTCCGCTCTTGCAGTCTCATAAACACAGGAGCAGATTAGGAGTTCGTCTCACGAACAACAAAGGATAATGTATCATACTTAAAGTGTATTAATATTTTATCTTAAATTTATACTTAGATGTGAGTTTTTCAGCTGAGTCAAGATTATATATAATATGTCACGTATTTCATATGGTTCAATTAAAATAAATTAATCAAGCTCTTTGCAATCTTTGATAATTGCAATCTGATCATCTGACGTGAGACAAGTTTCAAGTAATAACTATTAATTCAGTTCTTGTTTAAGGAGAGTTTGAGAATTTTAAATAATTATTAAACTGAAATAATATGTTACATAATTCTTTAAATAAAGAAGTTAAAATATTAATACACTTTAAGTATGATACATTATCCTTTGTTGTTCGTGAGACGAATTCCTGGGGCCTGATGCTTGACGATGTACGAATGAGATACGCACGCGAATACAGTATATGTAACGTGAACTATACATTTTCGCATGCGTATCATTTGCATACCGTCAAGAATCGAGCCCCTGATCTGCTCCTGTGTTCATGAGACTGCAGATTTGTTCGCATCGCATGCCCCAACGTGCTCTTACCTTTGACTATAGATTTGTTCGCGTCGCATGCCCTAAAGCCCATTCTACAATTGCGTAAACGTAGTTGTAAGTGGTTGTAAGTGATTACGACAACCAATCAGAATAAAGCAATCAGTGAATAAAACATTCGAATTGGTTGACTCTTACGTTCACGACTACGCTTACCCAATTGTAGAATGGGCTTAACGTGCTTCTATTCGCTCCAACGCACTTTGATTGGTCCACGTGGAGACGTGAACCAATCAGAGTGCGTTGGAGCGAGTAGGAGCACGTTGGGGCATGCGACGCGAACAAACCTTATATAACCATGGACCGCTAGCCGCTATCTTATGTCTGCAGCAAAACGTCTGTCAACATCTGCAGCGCCGCCAGGACCAAACAACGGCTATTACGTAAACTATCACATACTTGTGATTTCTATTTTACCATGTGAAAAATATTTTGTGTGTGTCCGTGATCATAAATTGCAGTTATCATTAAAATACATGAAAAATTATTATATTTCTTTAATCGTCAATAATAGACTTTTTCATTTTTTCTTTAAATAAATTATTACATTAAAAAAAAATTTATACAACTTTGCTATAATATAAAAATCAACAATTTTGAAATTAACAAGAAAAGAAATCTGATATGCAAGGATAATATAAAAACACAAAATAAGATATTTATATAATTTGATACCAAATTTGTATTTATTATATATTGTATAAGAATATATAATATTTATATAATATATTTATATGATAAGAGATATATAATATATGAATAAAAAAAAAAAAAAATATATATATATATAAAAAATGTTTATATAATATATATATGTAATATTATAAAAAAAACGTTCAACATTTTTTAAAACATTATTTAAAATACCGTCCTTTGAGGTAATTTGGAACACCGGAGTAACTTTGAACAATTTGCAACGGCTTAGAAAAACATGTGGCATCATTAAACGAATAAAGGTAGAATTTTCATATCAGCGATATAAAAGTTACCCCAAATGATGGTATATTATTGTACTTGCAATAAAATAATTTTTGTCAATTTATGTCTGATATATTGACATTTTTGGCTCATTAATTT